AACTGTTCAGAGTTGGTGAGGCGAATTGCGGAACTTGGTGTGCGGGTGGCTGGCTTTGGGGGCGGTGGTTATGTCATATAACTGGGATGGATACCGAAATCGATCTCAGGACTGCAGACCGGGATGTTCTGATTGGCATCATCGTCCGACAGCAGGCCATCATTGAGCGGCTGGAGAAATGCATTGCCCAGTTGGAAGGGCAAGCCAAACCCAAAGGCTCCCGCCGGATGCCCGGTCTGAAACCCAAAGCAGACCGGGAGCCAGCACGTCCCAAGGAACCTCGCAAACCCCGACCTCACGGCTTTGCCCGAGCCCGCATGACGCCCACCCACCGCGTGAGCATGTGGTGGAGCAGTGTCCCGACTGCGGGACCCAGTTGTCTGGGGGTTGGGCCCAGCGCACTCGGGAGGTGATCGACCTGCCGCAGGTTCCGGCGCAGGTAACCGAGCACGTTTACCTGACCCGCACTTGTCCCCGCTGCCGACGCTGCTGTGTTCCCAAAGCGCAACTGGACGGCGTGGTGATGGGCAAGCAGCGCCTGGGGATCAACGTCATCAGCCTGATTGCGGTCCTGCGGGAGGAAGCCAGGCTGCCGTTGCGCACCATCCAGTGGCACCTGGATACCGTGCATGGGCTGCAACTCAGCCTGGGGGCCATCGTGGCGGCCACACAGCAAGTGGCTGGCAAGGCCCAACGGGTGGTGGCGGACATCCTGGAACAGGTCCGAGGCAGTCCGGTGGTCCACGCCGATGAGACGGGTTGGCGACAGGATGGACACAACGGCTACGTGTGGACTTTCAGCACCCCCAACCTGCGGTACTTCCTGCGACGGAACCGGGGCAAGGCGGTAGTGGACGAGGTTTTGGGCGACGATTTCGCCGGTGTGCTGGTCAGCGACTTTTACGCCGCCTACCACCACTATGCGGGTCCCAAACAACGCTGCTGGGCCCACCTGCTGCGGGACATCCACGACCTGCGATCACTCTACCCAGATGATGGATCGCTGTCCCAGTGGGCTGACGCCGTCCACCAACTCTACCGTCAGGCCACGGTCTTTACCCACCCCGCAGAGCAACAACGCCGCACCGCCAAAATGGCCCTGGAAAGACGATTGCTGGTCCTCTGCCGGCCCTACCTGGATGACCCGTCAGCCGCCCAAGCCAGGCTGTGCCGACGCATGGAGAAACACATCAAAGAACTCTTCGTCTTCGTGGCCGAACCGGAGGTGCCGCCGGACAACAACGCCGCCGAGCGCAGCCTGCGCCATCTGGTGGTCAGCCGCAAGGTCAGTGGGGGCACCCGCTCGGACCGGGGTACTGCCACCAAGATGACGCTGGCGTCAATCTTCGGCACCTGGCGGGCACAAGGTCTCAACACCCTCAACGCCTGCCGTCAACTACTCGCTTCCCCTCAAGTCTGAACAGTTACACCAGGAAGGCTAATTACCGGAACTTTCTGAAAAGAACCCCAAGCAATTTGATTTGCCCGGGGTTAGTATTCGGTCAACGTTGGAAAGGCAGGGATAAAATCGCTGCAGTTTGTGTCTGGCATCCTGAGTGGTGAACCGCCAGTCGATGGTGGCTTCCTTAGCGTTACGCTCCGTCTCATAGATGCCGATGGCCCGTTGCAGGGCAAGTTCGTCGGGATTGCGCCCCTGGAGACAAGCCCGGGTCAACACGCTGAATTCAATCTCCGCCATATTCAGCCAGCTGGCGTGCTTGGGCGTGTGGTGAAACTCCAGTCGTTTCACGATGCGCCGAGCCTCAGCGGCCGGAAAGGTCTCGTAAAGAGAAGCCATGCGGTGGGTGTTCAGATTGTCAAGCACCACCCGTACCACCGGAGCGTGGGGATAGGCTACATCCACCAGCCACTGCATTTGATGGGCGAAGTCCTGCATGGTGTCAAGGGCGGACGAAAACTGTAACGCTCGGGCGGAGTAAAACCGTACCACCTGGATGGTGCGTGACGGCCGCGGCCTGGCCGGTGGGGCGGGGGGTCTCGCCTTGACGGAGGGGCCGGCGGCGGCGTCTGCGGGACGCTAATCGGCATCCGGGCGCTCCGGCGATGGCGACGATGCAAGGGCGTCCTGCCGGCTGCCCTTGAGCCGGTAACTCTCGCCGTTCATCTCCACGATGTGCACGTGGTGGGTGAGACGATCCAGCAGCGCGCCGGTGAGCCGTTCCGACCCGAAGACCTCGGTCCACTCGTCGAAGGGCAGGTTGGTGGTCACCAGGGTCGATCCCCGCTCGTAGCGCTGGCTGAAGACCTCGAAGAGGAGTTCCGCGCCGGTGGGGGACAACGGCACAAAGCCCAACTCGTCGATGATGAGCAGCTTATGGCGGGCCAGTTGCCGCTGCAGGTTGAGCAGCCGGCGCTCGTCCCTGGCCTCCATCAGTTCGTTGACCAATCCGGCGGCGGTGGTGAAGCCCACCGACAGGCCGCGTTGGCAGGCGGCCAGACCCAAGCCCAGGGCGACGTGGGTCTTGCCGGTGCCGCTGTTCCCGATGGCGATGACGTTCTCATGGTGATCGACGTATTCGCACCGGGCCAGTTGCATCACCAGCGGTTTGTTCACCGAGGGGATGGCGGAGAAGTCAAAGGTGTCCAGGCCCTTGGTGGCGGGGAAGCGCGCCGCGCGGATCCGGCGTTCCACCATGCGCTGGTGGCGGTCGGTGAGTTCCAGCTCGGCGAGCCGGAGCAGGTAGTCGGGATGATCGGCGCCTTCAGCGGCGCACTGGGCGGCCAGTTTGTCGTACTCCCTGAGGAAGGTGGGCAGTTTCAGCTCCCTGAGGTGGTGCTCAAGGAGCAGAGTGGATCGGTTGCTCATGCTGCCCTCCCCGACAGCAGGGTCAGGTAGTCCGTGGCGCGGGTGGTCTGCACGCTGACCCGGGGCAGGTGAGGGTAGAGCTCCAGGTCGAGACGGGGCGGTTTGCCTTCAAGGCGGCACAGCAGCAGATGCTTCACGGCGTCAAAGCCGACGGCGCCCAGCCGCAGGGCATCTCGCACCGCGTGGTGGACCTCCTGGTGGGAGAAGTGCTCCATCAGCCTGAGCACCCGCACGAATTCCCGCTTGCCACGCTGGCCCATCCGGTCCTCCAGCAGACGGCGCAGCGTGCGGTACTCTTCCGGCAGGTCCCACCCCGCCAGCGGCGCGGCCTGGTCCAGAGCCCCCGTCTTCCGCTCCAACAACGGCAGATAGTGAATGGGGTCGAAGACGAAGTCGTCCTGCACGTAGGAGCGCGGGTGTCGGGCGATGACCTCGGTGCCGCAGCTGATCACCACCCGGTCCACGTAGCCTTTGATCAGCACATCCCGATGTCCGTAGGCCACCGGCACCGAGTAGTCGTTGGTGCGGTACCGCACCAGGGACAATGAGCTGACCCGGCTGGCCTGCTGGTCGCAGGCGTCGTAGGACACCGGTGGCAACGGCAACAGCGCGTCCAGGTCTCGCTCCATCCGCTGGCCGATGGTCGCGGTGTGTCCTCTGAGCACAGCGTCCATGCGGTCCATGCATCGCGCCTCCAGGTGGGCATTGAGCGCTTCGAAACTCTCCGCCACGGGTATCGGTACCAGGAAGTTGCGCCGCACATAGCCCACCATGCCTTCGACCTTGCCCTTGTCATTCCCCTTGCCGGGACGACCGAACCGATCCTCGAACAGGTAGTGGGACTGGAGCTCGCTGAAAGCCCTCGTGCGTTTGCGACGACCGTCCCCCAGTATCTTCGCCACCGCGAGTTTCGTATTGTCGTACAGGACGCTCTGAGGCACTCCACCCAGAAAGGCGAACGCTGACACGTGCCCGTCCAGAAAGGCCTCGGTGGTCTCCCCGGGATAGGCCTTGGCGAAGCAGCCGTCGCTGTGGGGCAGGTCCAGGACGAAGTAATGCACCTTGCGCTCCACGCCGGCGATCACCGCCAACGCTTCGCCGAAGTCGCACTGGGCGTGGCCCGGTCCGTGGGACAACGGCACGAACATCTCCCCAACACGCCGCCGATGCTCCCGCACGTAGTCCTTGACTATGGTCTGCTGGCCTTCAAATCCGTACTCGTCCCGCAGCCGCTCAAAGATGCGCTTGGCCGTGTGCCGCTGCTTTCTGGGCGCCCGGCTATCCGCCTCCAGGATGGCGTCAATTACGCCGGTGAAGGGCTCCAGCTTCGGTTTGCGCGGCGGCCCCTTCCGCGTGTAGCCCTGGGGCGTCGCATTCGCCAGCATCTTGCGCACCGTGTCCCGATGCAGGCCGAACACTCGGGAGGCCTCCCGAACGCTCATCCCCTCCACCAGGCAGGCCCGGCGCACCCGAAAATACGTGTCCACGTGAAACATCCATCGCACCTTCCAACAGCTGATATTCAGCTTTATGGAAGACACCAGGCGGTACAGTTTTCAACCGCCCGAATTGTCGATGGTCTACGATTCGGTCAGTAGTTAACTGGTCAGCGACAATGTCAGTCTATGAAGGACTTGACATTGAACCAGCTAGAACAGACGAGACTTCACGTGCTCAACTCAGTATTGGAACACCAGCTACCGGTAGCCCAGGCTGCCGAGATCCTGGGGGTGAGTGAACGCCATGCTTGGCGAATTCTGGCGGACTATCGCAAGGAGGGCGCCGCCGCACTGGCCCACGGGAACCGAGGCCGCCGACCCCGCAACGCTGTTTCTGACGATGAGGCAGCCGCGGTGATCCAGTTGGCCAGCACCACCTACGCTGGCGCCAACCACACCCACCTCACCGAGTTGCTCCGGGACCGGGAGGGCATCGACCTCAGCCGGCCCACCGTGCGGCGCATTCTGACCAAGGCAGGCATCCCGAGCCCGCGCAAACGGCGTGCGCCCAAGCATCGGGTCCGGCGACAACGGATGCCTCAGGCCGGGATGCTGGTGCAGATCGACGGCAGTTTCCACCGGTGGCTGGGCGAGGACGGTCCCCAATTCACCCTGCTCCTGGCGGTTGACGACGCCACCAGCGCCGTGGCCAACGCGGTGTTCTGTCCCGAGGAGGACACTCGGGGATACTTCATCCTGATGCAGGGACTGATCGAACGCTGGGGCGTACCCACCGCCCTGTACAGCGACCGCCACGGCGTGTTCAAATTCTCCGGCAAACCGAGGCACATCCAGCCGCCGGTGGAAGCCACCCACTTCAGCCGTGCCCTGGTGGAGCTGGGCATCCAGCAGATCTTCGCCCGCTCGCCCCAGGCCAAAGGCCGAGTGGAACGTGCCGCCGGCACTTTTCAGGACCGGCTGGTGACCGAACTGCGTCTCGCCGGCGCCAGCACCATAGACCAGGCCAATGCCATGCTCAGGGACTTCCTGCCCCGCTATAACACATGGTTTGCTGTCCCGGCCGATCTGCCGGAGCCTGCCTACCGCCCGTGGCACGGAAAGCGGCCCTTGGACGAAATCCTCTGCTTCAAGCGCACCCGCAAGGTGGCTCGGGACAACACGGTCAAGTACCAGTGGCGCACCCTGCAACTGCTGCCCAGCCGGGAGCGTCCCAGCTACGCCGGTGTCCAGGTGGAAGTCCTCGAACACACCGATGGCCGCCTCCAAGTACGCCATGAGGGTGAGATCATCCCCTGCCGGCCAGCGCCGCCCCGACCCGGTGCACTGCGCGCTTCCCACGGCGCTCTGGCTCCCAACCCAGAAATCGGCCGCATCGTGAAACGCCTGGGCAATCATCGCGTCAGCCAACCCCAGCTGCGACACCTGGCCAACCTGGAGCCCGATCCCGTCGTCGAGGAACCGGCGGTCGAGAACCATCACAGTGAACCTCCATCCCGCCGGGAACTCACCCCGCGACAGCTGGCCCTCTGGAAGGCGGTGCAGCAGGCCCAGGCCCAGGGTCTATCCCTGCGCGAGATCTCACGTCAACTGGGCGTACACCGCAACACTGTCCGCAAGTACGCCCGCTCCCTGACCCAGCCGACCAATCTCCCCATCAACCGTGGCGTCAGCGGATCATTTCAACCAGCCATCAACCGTTCAGACTGACAAAGTCGCTTTCCATTTAAACTGACAGAATCGCTGGACAACAACACCCGAATCGGCGATCGGGCCGCCCACGCGGTACATTTTCTCTCCGTCCTTTACATGCATGGTACGCCGTTCGGTGATCGCCACGTGGCGCCAGCCCGCCAAAGGCTCACAGGTCAGGAAGATGTTGCGGGTGCCGCCGCGCCGGTACTCGTAGTCCTGGCGTCGCGGGCGTCCCGGTTGGGCGGGCAGCGGCGGTCGGGTATCGGCCAGCAGTTGGGTGGAGGTCTCGTCGAAGCACACCACCGGACGGTCAGGGTCGTAAGGTTCGGCGTAGAGGTCCAGCACGTCCTCCATGGCAGCCACGAACTCCCCGTTCACCTTGGGGATGCACCACTGCTGCTTCCGCCACGGCTGGAGGATGTTTTTTTCAGCCGCAGACGCACCGTCTCGTGGGACAACGACTCCACCAACCCCAACTCCACCGCCTGGTCGGACAGCAACCGCAGGGTAACTGGCCAAGAGCTCAGTGGTCATGGCCTTCGGGCGCAGCGCTGCACGCCAGCGCGATCAGATAGGCTTCGCCCTTGTCATCCAGCTTCCGGTACCGGTTGGCTTGAGGATGGTCGTGCAGCACGCCGTCCAATCCTTCCTCGGCGTACCGCCGTTTGGTGCGGAACACCGTGCGCTGCGACGTGTCCAGCGCTTGCTACCACCTGGGACGCGCTCCATCCTTCGTCAGTCCGGAGCAGGATGCGCACCCGAGTGATTACCCGTGCGGAACGCCGGCCTCATCGTATCAATTGCCGCAGCCGTTCCCGCTCCTCCGACGTCAACTGTACCCCGTATTTCTCCTGAACCATGGATGCCGCACCTCCCGCACTGCTGATTGCTACTCAGCGTAGCCACTCCGGCTCACCTCTCGCCGTATCTGTCGATACAGGTGTGACTGAATACTAGCAGAGCACATGTGGCGTTGTAACCATCGATCTGAACCCACGCTCGAGCAGCTGCAGGCGTTCATCCGCAACTCACACGATGTGGTTCTGCGGGGCGACGACAAGCCCTGCGACGCGAGGAGCGTCGAGAAAATATTAGCCGTGCAACGCGAACTGAACCCACCGCTTCCCAAAGCCAAGAAAGCACGCAACAAGAAAAAGAAGTGCGTGCCCCAGCAAAAGAAACTCAATCTTTCCAAAGCCAAAAAAGCACGCGACAAGAAACGGTAACCCTGGAACATCAAAAGCCTGACGCGACGGCGGAATGGAGCCATCCGAGCGAGGTTCACTGGGGGTCTCTGGCAGTTGGTGGAGAGGGTTGCAACTATGCCCGGCCATTTTCATCCGCATGACGCACAGCGGCGTCCAAACCTCCGTCGACGAATCAGGTCGGAGCCGTGGCGCGTGGGCTGCTTGTTGGGTCTGGAACAACACCATCACGATACTGCTGTCGTTGGAAACACGGTCGGCGGCCCCACGCGAGTGGGGATGGACATTCCACGGCAACCTGTGCGTGGTTGGCCAGGGTAATGATTGTAATCTACGTCTGCTATATCAGTGCATCACCTTTGCTAGGGCCTGTTGACAAATAAAAAGCCCGCGCCGCCCCAACGGACGCCGCAGACTTGAAAGTTCAAGAACAATATATCGTCACACCATGATCCGCACGCTGAAATTCGCGCTGCTACGCAACCCGGCCAACTCACAGGCCATTGCCTACCTGGCCACCACCCCAACCAGGCAGAGGGAGCCGATCAGCAGCACCCAAGTCCATTTTTTTCAGAACAGCGAACATCGCAGTACCCAGGCGGCGTGGCATTTGCCACGCCGCGCTTACACGCCTCGCAGCGCCAGACCTGGGAGGTCCCGGCACCGCTGTTTTAGCAACCGGACGTGCAGGACTTCCAACTGTCGTACGAACCGAGCTCGTTGTAAATATGGCCGAGGGACGAGAAGCAGAACACGTCGTCCTCGTCCGCGTCTCCGGCGAACAACATGCCAATCAGCTTCACATTGCTGCCACTGGTGATTTTGAACACCGGCGCGCCGCTGTCGCCCGCGCTAGGCCCGGCGCCTTCCGTGACCCGAGCCCGCCCTACGCAGATCACCCGAATCACGTCGTCGACCACCTCCTTGAAAGTCCAGGTATCCAACACCTTAGCCTTCCGACCCACCGACCGACAAGCCGTCGTTAGGGGTACCCAGTATCCCTGCCGCAACGGCGACGCCGTCAACCAGCACGTGGTGGTCATCAATGTCGACGAAAAGCCCATCGGCATCATGCACGACTATGACGAAGCCGGCACCGCAACCATGGCGTAGGCAGGCAAGAAACGGCCCGCACGACGTGACGACGCGCACGGAGCCTCCGGCTCCGTGCGCTCCTTCATCCGCGGCATGCTGGACAACTGGCCACCCGTGCCTGACACCGGAGGCGACAAGCACGCACCAGCAAGAGGGAACCATGGCGCTACTTGCCATGCATATTTTCGACCGCGTCCTCAATCCCTTTGACGGTCAAACCCTTGCCAGAACGCGAGTCATGCCAACCATCGCCGACGTTCACAATCTTCCCGTAGTCCTGACCGACCATCACGATGAAATAGTCGTCATTATCAAACCCATCCGGCACCGGCCGGCCGATGTCATCATCGTAATTGTCCTCATCAGCGAGGCTGCGCAGGAAGAGGATCACCTCATCGCCCACCTCATACTCCGGAACGTCGGCGTCGGACAGTACATGCACATTGTCTCCAACCGGAACAGCACCCGTCTCCGCCATCACGGCTATGAAGTCAGCGAGAGCGTCCTTCGGATGCAACGCCTTGGACACCTCCAGCCGATAGTCGGTGAACTCATAATTGAACTTGGGTGGGTCACTCACTCCCCCCGGCGCCTCCTTGGTGCCAAGCTCAGCCTTGAGGGTGCCCATCACAATGGCGTCGGCCTGCTTTCACCATGTCGTCCAGATCCCAAGGCGGCAGCAGCCCGTCAACCATCACCATATAGTCCTCCGAGATCTGGTCGCCAGTGGCAGGCACGGCAGACTGGGCAGCCGAGCAGCCCAAGACACCAACCAATGCCAGCAACAGGACCGAGGCCACCACGGTACGTCGAATTTCTGTGATTCCCATGTCGGTTCCTCCCCGTCAGTCAGCACCGTAGATAGCTTGGATACCCGATTTGTCGTCGCCGCACAACGTGCGGTCGCCGCCCTCCCCAGAACGCATCACGCAGCCAAAACGCCACCGACCGCCCTGAACCACATCTATTGGCGATCGGGCCGGGCGCGTTCGCCTTTCTTACCCATCATCCCTCACGTCAACGCTAGAACCGCATCCCTTCGGTGGATTCGGGATTAGGCGGGCTGTGGCACAACTTTGAAAAAGCGCCGGGCAAACACCGGGTTGCCCGCCGGCGTCAGGAAGGTTTCGTTGCCACGAAAAGCGCCCAGCCAATATTGCCGGCGTTGGCCGAGTCAACCCAGAAAGACAGCGCTTCCACGGTGCGGTCGATGGTATCGTAACCGATGCGGGGAGCCAGGGCTTCCCGGTTTTCCAGGAGACGGTCGCGCACCCAGGCATAGGAGCGACCGACGTGCCGGGACCAGTCCTCCTCCCTGGTCACGGGCAGTTCCAATTGGAACAATGCCTGCCGGTAATCTTGCAGATCCCACATATCGGGCGACTTGACCCGGTCATATATCTTCTCCCGGTCCGCTTCCGGAGTGCTTCGGCGCACCAGGATATCCGTGAAGACAAGGCTGCCGCCGGGCTTGACGACGCGCCGGCATTCCGAAAGGACTGCATTCTTGTCCACAGCGTGCAGAAAGGCTTCCTGGCTCCAGACCACGTCATAGGAGTCGTCGGGGTAGGCGAGGCGGTGAAAATCCCCGTACTCAAAGGACAACAGGTGATCCAGGCCGGCCTGGGTGGCACGCGAGCGGGCCAGTTCCAGTTCCTTCTCACTGATGTTGGTGCCGGTCACCGCGCAACCGAAGTTCGCCGCCAGATATCGGGCAGTGGAGCCGTAGCCGCATCCCAGGTCCAGCACACTCATATCCGGCGTCAGCGAAACCGCGTTGGCCATGATCTCGTTGGTATGCTCCATCGCCTCGGGATGGTGGCATTCGGGGCTGCAAGGCACGCCCAGATGCAGATTATCGCCCCAGATGGTGCGGTAAATCTCGTCGGCGGGGTCCGTCGTAATAGGCCTGGGTGCTGGCGACGATGGCGCCAACGTCTCTTTCGGTCATGATGAGTGTCTCCGTTGGTGTCGATTGAACTGCGACCGGCCCTCATGGGATCCTGGCCAAGCGTCGCAACCGTAAGCCTCAGGCCGTTGGGCCGACGGCTTGGGCCCGCGCCTTACTGTCCGCTCCCGGGCAAGCAGTACTCTGACTCAGGCCCAGTTGTCCGGCGGTTTCACACCCAGCAATCGATCGATCCGACCAGGTTCCCGTGCGCTATGTCCTGTCCATGCTGACGCCTACTTCCTGGCGATCTGGATCACGAAATCCGGATCGTAGAGGTCGTAGCCCGCTTCGAAATCGCCGTACCGCTCCACGCTCCGGAAGCCGGTACCGAGCAAAAGGTCGGTTACGTAGTCCTGACGGATGGGGCACAGGGTGAGAAAATGGACCTCCCCATCGCTGTATTCGTACCGCATCTTGAGGACATCTTCGGTCAGCTCTTCAGGCTTGACATCCACGGTTTCGCCCAGATAGTAGGACTGGTGCTTGCTGCTGAAAACCGTTGTCCAGAATGGCATCATAGTTGCGTTGGTCAATGATTGCGATTCCGTCATTGTTGAGCAAGTGGTACACCTCGTTGAGGGACCGGATACGATCCGATTCGTCGAACAGGTGGGTGAACGCGTTGCCCAGGCAGATAACGGCGTCGAACCGCTCGTAGGGAAAGGACTCCCTCAACCTGATCCACTCGGCCTCCACGAGACGCAGGTCGTCAATCCCCAAGCGTTCGGCATTCTTCCCTGGCCTGCGCCAGCATGTTGGGCGCGCCGTCGGCTGCGGTTATGTCGAAACCGTCGGCTTTCAGAGTAACGGCATGAAATCCGGTGCCGCAGGCGATGTCCAGCACAGTTTCGGCTCCATGCTCCTTCAGGATATCCTGGAAGAAGTTGTTTTCCGCCTCCGCCCGACGCTGCCAGTCGATCAATTCGTCCCACCGTCCGACGAACTTGGGCGAGTACTGTTCCTTGTACAGGTCTTTGGGGACGATGATTCTTTCGGCTTGAGACATGCAATCACTCCTTGTGTGGTGAAATTGTAACAGTTCAGACTTGTGGGGTAGTGAGTAATTGTCGGCAGGCGGTGAGGGGGTTCAAGGCCTGGGCTCGCCAAGTGCCGAAGACTGAGGCCAGCGTCATCTTGGTGTCAGTGCCCTGGACTGACCGGGCGCCACCACTGATCTTCCGACTGATCACCACCGGGCGCAGGCTGCGCTCAGCGGCGTTGTTGTCCGGCGGCGCTCCCAGTTCGGCTACGAAGACGAAGAGCTCTTTGATGTGTTTCTCCATGCGTCGGCACAGCCTGGCCTGAGCGGCCGACGGGTCATCCCGGTAGGGACGGCAGAGGGCCAGCAGTCGTTGCTCCAGGGCCAGTTGGGCAATGCGTCGTTGCTGCTCTGAAGGATGGGTAAAAGCCTTGGCCTGGACATAGACACTATGGACGGCGTCGGCCCACTGTGCCAGTGTTGCGTCCTCGGGGTAGAGGGCGCGCAGGTCGTGGATGTCCCGCAGCAGATGGGCCCAGCAGCGTTGTTTGGGACCGTCGTGTGGTAGGCGGCGTAGAAGTCGCTGACCAGCACGCCAGCAAACTCCTCGCCCAGGACTTCATCCACCACCGCCTTGCCCCGTCCCCGTCGCAGAGCCTGCCCCTGGCTTGAACAGGGGAAGTACCGCTGGGTGGGTGTGCTGAAAGTCCAGACGTAGCCGTTGTGCCCGTCCTCCCGCCAACCCGTCTCATCGGCATGGACCACCGGGCTGCCTCGGATCCGTTCCACTATATCGGCCATCGCAGCCTGGGCCTGGCGAGCCACCTTTTGCGTGGCGTCCACGATGGCTCCCAGACTGAGGCGCAGCCCATGGACGGCATCCAGGTACCACTGGATGGTGCGGAAGGGCAGCCGAGCCTCCTCCTTAAAGCGCAGCAATCAAACTCATTACGTTGACCCCCAGACGCTGCTTATCCAGCACCACGCCGTCCAGTTGCGCCGGTGGCACACAGCGGCGCTGGCAACTCGGACAGGTACGGGCGATGTAAGCGTGCTCAGTTACCTGCACCGGAACTTGGGGCAGGTCGATCACTTCCCGAGTGCGCTGGGTCCAGCCACCGGCCAGCTGAGTTCCGCAGTCGGGACACTGTGCCACCGCGCGTTCCACCCGCTGGGTGGGCGTCATGCGGGTGCGGGCGAAGCCGTGGGGACGAGGCTTGCGAGGCCCTTTGGGCTGGGCCGGTTTCCGGTCGGCTTTGGGCTTAAGACCGGGCATCCGGCCCGAGCCGCTGGGTTTGGCCTGCCCTTCCAATTGGGCAATCCGTTTCTCCAACCGCTCGATAATCGCCTGTTGCCGGACGATAATGGCAATCAGGACATCCCGGTCGGCAGTCTTGAGGTCAATCTCCCCGTCCATGCCCACTATATGACATAACACCACCGGCGGCGCAAGGCTCCCTGAACCCCTTTCGGCCAATTCGCCTCACCAAGTCTAAACCCCAATCCACCGAAAGGATGAGAGTGGCGTCGTTCTGAGGGGATGAGAAAGTGCTCCCGGCTTCGGGGATAATGGTTTTTGAAGCAGAAAACCACCCTGAAACAAGGAGCACCCAACGGATGCTAACACGCAACGACCCCGACCGCATCCAAGTCGCCTTTGACGATCACCGCCTGGTGGCCAATGCCGGGCTGATCCTTCCGGTCACTTTGGCCCATCACCTGGGACTGGGCGAGCTGGTGGACCACTACGTTGACCTGGGAAATGCGCCGGGTCGGGCCAATGCGGGAGACAAGCTGCTGACGTTGGTGGCGTCGGCGCTGGCCGGTGGCGACTGCATCGACGACACCGACGCGCTGCGCGCAGGGGGAACCGAGCAGGTGCTGGGCTGCAAGGTCAAAGCGCCGTCCACGTTGGGGACCTTCCTGCGGAGTTTCAGTTGGGGACACGTCCGCCAGCTGGATCGGGTGAGCCGAGAGGTGCTGGCGAGGGCCTGGACCGCTGGGGCTGGACCCGGCAATGATCCGTTGACCATCGACCTGGACTCCACCATCTGCGAGACCTACGGGCTCGCCAAGGAAGGCGCGCAGCGCCACAACTACGCCGGCCAGCGGGGCTATCACCCGCTGCTGGCCGTGGCCGCCGGTACCGGCGACGTGCTGATGGCACGATGACGCAAAGGCCGGGCCAACACGGCTCGAGGCGCCGCCCACTTCCTGCGGGAGACGGTGAGACGAGTGCGCCACGCCGGAGCCGCCGGACCACTCACCATGCGCGCCGACAGCGGCTTCTACAACCATGACATCGTCGCCGTCTGCCGAAAGATGGACGTCCGCTTCTCCATCACCATCCGCCAGCACCAGAGCGTGCGCAGTATCATCGAGGCCATATCCGAGACGGAGTGGACGCCCATACCCTACTGGATGGAGGGTGCCGCCGACGTAGCGGAGACCACCTACACTCCCTTCCAGAGCGAACCCGACGCCGTGCCGGTGCGCCTCATCGTCCGCAGAGTGAAGCCCACGCCCGGCTCCCAACTGGCGCTGTTCGCCACCTACAGCTATCACGCTTTCATTACCGACCGCAAGGGCGACACCCTGGATCTGGAGGCCGACCATCGTCGCCACGCCGAGATCGAGAACGCCATCCGCGATCTCAAGTACGGCGTGGGGCTCAACCACCTCCCCTCGGGACGCTTCCCCGCCAACGCCGCCTGGCTGGTCGTCCAGGTCATCGCCCATAACCTGGCACGCTGGACAACACGCATCGGCCTGGGCGAGCCGGTGATGACCACCAAGACCCTCCGACGACGCTTCTTCTCCCTGGCCGGACGCATCACCCGCAAGGCTCGGAGTCTCACCTTGCACCTTCCCCAGGGCTGGCCCTGGCAAAACCAATTCGGCAGAGCCCTTTCCAGACTGCGCGCCCTGCCACTCCCTGCCTGACGGCGTCCTACCCGTCCGCCGCACTACCCAACCGCTTGGCGGGGTCTGCGCCAGGCTGGGCACAGATTGCCTCCTGCCGCCGTCTGCAAGCTGATCTCGTCCTCCGACACGACCTGCGGTCGTCAACAACCCCGTTCTGCGGCGGTCACACCCCACACCCAGCCGGATCTCCAGGGATCAAAGCCCTACAGCCTGTTTCCCTCGCCTCTCATCCCTGGTCTGACCCCCGCGGTCGTATCCCTTCGGTGGATTCGGGCTTAGGCTGACGGTACGGTCAGTGTGGATGATGAACCGGCTCTCCCCGCAGGGTTGGTGGAGCGCGACGTGGACGGTGTGTTCAGCGGCTGCCGGGTTGTCGCCTATGCTGGCGACGGTGGTGAGGGTCGGGTCGGCTGGCCGGTTGGCTTGAGAATGACAATGGGCGGTTGGTATCGCACTCGAGCCCCCGATGGTGTGCGGGACGGGCCTTGGCCGCCGGGTCTGAGGTGGATGGTTTTCTCGGCCTGTTCGGCTGCTGTGCGGAAATGATCGGTTGTGTTGCTCACGGTGCTCAGGTTTTAGAGTCCGCAGGTGGGTGAAGACGGGCTGCCGTTTGGCGGTATAGTTACGGCAGATGACGTTACCCAGGGATGATGTGGGTTACCGCGCTAGCTGGGTCGTTTGGATCCGTGAATGTCTTTACGGGGGCTCCTTCGCGTAGAAGTTGAGGGATTGCATTAGGTCCGTGTCTGTAGTCATGCAACTTCCACCAATCAGGCCGTGTGGCTGCACTCCACTTGGTTCGAATGAACGACAGGTCGAGGGACAGGTTAGGCATTTCGCTGTGTCCTACGAGGAGCTTCGATTGATCCCCCGGCTCTGTGGATTCGTACTCGGCTAATTGGATGGTCGGCTTGTGACGCTCGTCCAATACCGTTTGTACGAGGCCTGGCACTTGTTCGAGCAGTTGGGGAGAGTTGGCGTACAAATTTTGAATGGCGCAAAGGGCTTGCATCTGGTTCAGTTGGCGAATATCGGACTCATTTGCCTCGGTTGTATGGCTTCGTTTCGAAGCGGCGGAAGTTAGCTCGTATGCGTTGGGATCGAACAGCATGACCACACTGCGTGGTGAGATCGGGCAGAATGCTTGGAATCCATGGGTGTCCGCACCGGTGGTCGCTCCGTGTAACCCTTGGGACAGTTGGTTATAGAAGAAGGCGGGGTTATCACTGGTGAGGAACCGGTCCGTGGGAGCAGTGACAAGGTGCGGTTCTAGGTCGTCCATGATCGGAAGTTGGGCTTCGACCGAAAGTTTGACGGCTTCCAATTGTGGGAAGTCGTATTGGACCCGGGTGTCTCCCGGGGCCGCTCCCATGGCGTCCAATAATATTGGTATTGACTGGGCGTAGATTTGTCGTATGACTTCCGCTTCTGATGGGGTGCGTGAGTGCTGTGCGGCGATGAAAGCGAACAAATCTAGGAACGATTGAGGATCAATCTCGATGTGGGGTAAGCTTTGGCTTTCTCTGATTCGGCGGCATACGCGGGCGAAGCGCTGGTCCCAAGCTTGGAGGACGTTCTCGGTGTCTTGACTCGCGTAGTAGAGGCGCTGTTGGCCTTGTCCTTTGATTCCCACATCGTAGCGAGGGGTAGCGGCCTCGATGTCATAAAGGTGGGTCAGATTGGGGCGACTGGCCCAGGCGCTCAAATAGAATACCGGGAGAAAATGGTGTTTTTTCGACCGCGTCAAGGGAATGTCCTGGCCGACTGACCTTATGGATGTCGTGTTTGTCGGATGTCGCATCGGTTTGGTTAGCGGACGGATTGTGCCATGTGTGCTGGTGGGACACAATCGGGTGCGCTCGGCCTCCATAGCCGGCTTCGCATTGCCGATCATCAGTGTGGCTCGTGCTGGCCTAAAGGGTTGACGGTGCTGGTGTAGATGGGCGTCGAGTGGGAACTCCGTCACATGCGTACGGGTTCACCCCATAGGTCGGTTTGGACGGGTTCGGCCGTGGTATCGCCTGTTCTCTGTGACCGTTTCGGCTTGCGGGAGTAGCGTCGCTGGCGGTGACGATGTTCTTCGGCGCACTTTGGGCATCGCGTGGAGCCAGGAGTTGCCTGCGCTTGGCAGTCGTGGCAAAGGCCCTCGCGATTGAGGTCTTGCCTTTGCAGAGCGTTGCGGGCGTTTTCCGAGTTGCGGTGGCACTCTGCGCATGGCGCGCACCGGCTTTTGCCGGGCAGCGGCGGGTTGGAGCACGATTTACAAACTGGACTTTGCGCATTTCAGGCGGCGTAAGCGAGGGAATCCACCAATCGGTGGTACAGAGCGGTGGGGAGTTCTTGCGTATCGGGGTCGCTGGGCGACCGGGGGAAACCCTCCGACGCCAGCCACAGGTGGCGGCGCACCAGGGCGATGGCGTCGACGAAGGTCGGCGACGGTTTGTCGTACCAGGCCGCTCTACGCTGGATCATGGGGTGGCGTTCTTGCAGCGCGTGGGCGGCCAGGGTGATCCAGGAAAAGAGTCCCAGCAGGACCGGCGTGGTGCGGGTGATGGCCAGGTCGGACCACTGGCGCTGGGTCTCCACGCCCAGATGGGTCCGCACCTCCTGAAAAGTGACCTCCAGTTGCCAGCGCAGCACGAACCATTCCAGGATCTGCGTCGGGTCTGCCGACGGGTCGGTGCACAGCAGGGCCTGGGGCGCGAAGGCGCCCTGTGGGTCTCGGATCAGCACCCAGCGAATGCGCACCGGGGGTTTGCCCGAGCGGTACCAGACTGCGGTCTGGGAGGTGAGTTCCACAGTGCGGGTGGCGCCGTCGTACCAGCCCACCGTGGCGCTGGTCCAGGTTACCTGAGGCTGGTCAGTAGCCGGGGGCTGCTCAAGGAGCGCTTTCAGCGAGGGTCGTCGTGCGCCCTTCAGCGCTGGGCGGCCGTTCTGACCCGGTTGACGGGGTGGCGCGGGCGCATAGAGGGCGGCATCCAGGCGCAGTCTGGCGATCAGGGTAACGGGTTCCGACAGGGACTGGCAGCAGTGCAGCAGGTCGAGCACAGCGTAGCCGTTGTCCCCCACCAGCACCAGCGACCGCTGCGGCAGCCAGCGGCGCAGTTGCAGGACCATCTGGCGTGCCCAGTCGGTGAGCTTCTTGTGCCGACGTCCTCTCTCCTGATAGTACCGCGCCGATGGCGCCAGCACCGTGAGCACCGGCAGGGCCCAATGGCGTCCCGCCCAGGGCACCTGGCCCAGCCACATCAGGGAGATCCAGCGCAAACCACTGGCTTTGACCACTTGGGAGCGGCTGGAACGCACCGCATCACGGTAAACGCCCAGAGCGCCGATGCTACGGCCCCGACGCCGCTCCAAGGTTTCGTCGACGCCGAAGATCAGGGGGCCATCGCCGCGATCCAGGTGCTGGAGCAACAATACCAACAGAATACCCGCGGCCGCACGGGGCGACCACACCGCCCGGTTGAGCACCTCATGGTAGCGGGCGAAGTCGCCGTCATCGCTGCGACCCATGACCCGCAGCGCCGCGGCCACCGTGCGCTGGCCTGGCGCCAGTATCGCGCCCACCAGCAACACCTGCGCTTTGCGCCAGGTTGGGTTGCTGAACAACGTTGCGAAGGGAACGAGAACGGCTACAATGGCATCGGGCAGGGTGAGCATGGCTGGACCTTTCGTCGAAAGTGGGGTCAGGCCATCTTACCCTGTCCTTATTCTTTTCCTAAAAAATGCGCAAAGTCCAGGGAAGACCATCTGCACAAGATCGGCAGCGCCCTGCACCTGGCGCGGCACTTCGGCCATCCCGAAACGACGTTGGTGGAAGCCGACCTCTGGATAGTCCCTACCCCTGCTACGGGACCGCCCGGCGTCGCCGGCCTAACCTGCTCGTCGCCTTCAACGTGGACCCGGCAGCCTACGAGTCCAGCAATGGCTACATCATCTCGGGACAGGGGGAAGCCGCCCGACTTCGTACTGGAAGTGGCTTCCCCCGGCACCGCAGAAATCGACGTGGTCGATAAGCGCGACGACTACGCGGCCCTGGGCATCCCCGAATACTGGCGCTTCGACAGGACGGGAGAGCATCACGGCGCACGGTTGGCAGGAGACCGGTTGCTGGATGGTGTGTACGTGCCGATGCGGATAGATGAGTTGCAGGAAGGGGTCCTGCAGGGCTACAGCGTGGCGTTGAACCTGTATATGCGATGGGAGCACGGTCAGCTGGGATGGTACGATCCGGCCGCCGGACAGCACATCCCGACCTACGATGACCAGCTCGCCAGGGCGGAGAGCGAGCGGGCGGCCCGGACGCGAGCCGAGGACCGGGCCGAAGTCGCCGAGGATCGCGTCCGCGAACTGGAATCAGAGATCCGCAGGCTGCATGACGCCTGACCCGCCACTCCCGCCCTCTCGTCGCAATTGCCGCTCCCGACCCGGTGCGATATACTCCCAGCGATTTTCCCCAACAATGCCCGGGAGGGCCGACATATGGACATGGGACTCAGTGAGATTCAGCAGATGCTGAAGAACTCGGCGCGGGAGTTTCTGGCGCAGGAATGCCCGCTGACGCTGGTGCGCGAACTGGAAAACGACCCGCGGGGCTATACAGAAGAATTGTGGCGGCAGGTGTCCAGCCTGGGCTGGACCGGCATACCCTTCCCCGAGCAGTACGGAGGCACCGGCGGGTCATTCCTCGACCTCGCCGTGCTGGTCGAGGAGATGGGCCGCGCATTGCTGCCCGCTCCCTATTTCGCCACCGTTGTGCTGGGTGGGCTGACCGTGATGGACGCCGGCAGCGACGACCAGAAGCGCGACATCCTGACCGGCGTCTGCGCCGGCACTGTCCGCCTCACCCTGCCCTCACCGAGCCGTCGGCGACCACCGAGGCCTGGGGCGTGGAGACCACCGCCAGCGCATCGGGCGACGGCTACGTTATCTCCGGCACCAAGCTGTTCGTTCCCGACGCCCATGCCGCCGACACCATCATCGTCGCGGCGCGCACCATGCCGGCCGGGGACGATCCGGAGCAGGGCATCACGCTGTTCCTGATGCCGTCCAATGCCGCCGGCGTGGAGGTTGAGCAGGTTGGCACCATCGGCAACGAGCGGCTCTGCGAGGTGCGGCTGAACAACGTCTCCGTGGGAGCGGGCACCGTGCTCGGCGAGGTCGGACAGGGCTGGCCCGTCATCGAGCGCGCCCTAGCCCGGGCGACCGCGGCCCACTGCGTGCAGATGGTGGGCGGCGCCGACGCGGTGGTCGATATGACCGTCGAATATGTCAAGCAGCGCACCCAGTTCGGCCGTCCCGTGGGGAGTTTCCAGGCGGTGCAGCACCACTGTTCCAACATGGCCACCGACGTTGAGGGAGCCCGCCACGTGGCCTACCAGGCAGCGTGGGCCATCGCCGAAGGCCAGTCCGGCCGCCGCGAGGTCGCCATCGCCAAAGCCTGGTGCAGCGGCGCTTACCAAAGGGTCTGCTCCCTGGGTCACCAGTGCCACGGCGCCATCGGTTTCACCGAGGAGCACAACCTGCAGCTCTACACGCGCCGGGCCAAGGTACAGGAACTTTCCTACGGCAGCGTCCACGACCACAAGGAAGTGGCGTTGCAGGAAATCGAGGCTGCGTAGCGATGATTTCAGCGTAGCTTTTCCTATTCACTTACATTTGCGAAGGAGGCAAAACGATGGCCAAGCGAGTCGTATTCTGCCTCGTTGAAAACAGCCGGGACGAGGTACTGCTTATCCAGCGTGGGTATGGAAAAGAGAAGGGAAAGTGGTCGTTGCCTGGTGGATTTGTGGACCGCGGCGAAAGTAGTAAGCACGCTGCATACCGCGAAACCAAAGAAGAGACAGGGTTGATCGTTGAAGTCGTTTCAACCGTTATGGTTGGCCGAACACGGCCAATTAAAACATTTGCGGGTCAGGTTGTGGGCGGCAAATTACGATTCCAACGCCGCGAATGTTTGGATGTCAGGTTTCGCGATCCAACGAAAATACGGTCTCACGAGTTGGCTTTCGATGCAGACCGAAGAGCGCTGCACCTTTGGGCGAAAATGAAAACTGAACACAACGAACTCAGGCAACAGCCATTGCCCGACAAGTGCCCGCGATGCGGGGAGCCCAGCGTTCGGCTACGTCACTACCCACATCAAAACCACTATCGTTGTGATTCTTGTAAAAATACTTTCTAAACTGGAATGGAAGTAGCTACCAGTAGGAGTAATGCCTAATGACAACTATGACCCCCGCCCGCAGTTCGCCCTTTTCCGCCATGGCCCGCGACCCGCTGCATCCCGATGTGATTTACCGGGACGAGCGCTGCTTCGTGGTGCGCGACATCGACCCCAAGGCGCCGGTGCACCTGCTGATCATCCCCAACATGCCCATCAACGGGCTCGATTACATCAGCCCCGCGATGGAAGCCACCATGGGGCACCTGTTCGTGGTGGCCGCGGAGATGGCCCGCCGCGAGGGCGTGACCATCAGCGGCTACCGGCTGGTGGTCAACAACGGCGCCGACGCCGGCCAGACCATCGCCTGGCCGCACATGCACCTGCTCGGCGGCCGGGGACTGGGAGACATGGGCTAACGTCCATGGGCGATTTCATGGCCGAAATCCACATCGGTAACATCACCGGGGGCGATACGCGCCCGGTGATTGCTCTTGTGGACACCGGCGCCACCGAATCCGCCTTTCCTGCGGACCTGCTGGAGCAACTCCATATCCCGGCGACGGAACGACCGATGGACTACGTCCTGGCCGATGGAACCACTCTACGGTGTTCCCGCGGGCTCGCCCGGATTTCCATAACGGTTCGGTCCGGCGAGACCTTGAGCAGCATCTGTCCGGTCGCTTTCTGGCCTGATGAGAGTGGTCAATGCGTCGGCGCAACCACGTTGCAGATCCTGACGCTGGCAGTTGATCCCGTCAACGAAGAATTGGTACCCGTTTCAGCTCTCAGACGGGGCTGGCCTGGAGATATTCCGGTGCAGTGATGACCGTGCTCTGCATGAAGTGAGTGTGACCACCCCATGACCACCATTGAGATTTCCGACCGCGTGGTGGACCGCATCCACCGCCGGATCCGCCGCCTGCCGCCCGGGCTCCAGGAGCACTGCCAGCGGGTGGAACAGATCGCCCGCGACCTGGCCGAGCGCCACGGTCAGGATGTGGAAGCCATTGGTCTGACCGCCCTGGCCCACGACGCCACCAAGCACTTCTCCGGCGTTGAGAACCTGCTGCGCATGGAGGAATATGACCTGCCTCCGGTGACGGCGTTCGAGCGGCGCAACCCGGCGATCCTGCATGGCATGGTGGGCGCCGAACTGCTGAAGCGGGAGGACGGCCTCCGCCATCCGCAGCTGTACAACGCGGTGTACTGGCACACCACCGGGGACCCATCCGGCGGCGATGAAATTGCCCACATCGTTTTCCTGGCCGACAAGCTGGACCCGGTCAAGGTCAAGCGTTACCCCTGGCAGGCTGAGCTGAAGGAACTCGCCGAGAACGACCTGCCCTCCGCCATGACCATGTTCCTCACCAGGAACGTGGTCCGTATGCTGGACAAGGGCTCGGCGATTCACCCGGCGGCGATAGAAGCGCGTAACACTTTGCTGCTGGAAGCAGGATCGTAGGGGCGGGTATAATTACTCTTACTGACGTGGAAGGCGATACGATGGAGCTTGCTACGATGGAATTCGATGTCGCGGTCTGGCGTGACACCCTGTCCGACGGATCAATTTGCTACGCGGCAATCTGTCCCGCCGTTGACCGCGCTCATGGCCAGGGAGATACCGAAGCTGAAGTTGACGTTGCCGATGCCATGGCAATCTATCTGGACCATGAACCGGGAAAACTCAAGACTGGACAAGCCGCCCAAGAAGCGACCTCCGAACTGGTTGCGGAACTCACGGCCGAAGGCGTTGTGCCATGGATACGCCAAGTCGTTCCTGCTCGCAACCAGGTGCCTGCCTAGCGATGGTAAGAATTGCTAATGTCAAGCCCCGTGAAATGCTGCGCAGAATGGGGTTCGTACCGAGCAATCGTGACCATGTTTATTTCTATCACGCCTGGTTAAATATAGGCACCAAAATATCCCATGGAGATAAAGAACTTAACGCATTGTTGATGGGTAAGATAGCGCTAGATGATCTAAAGATGAACAGTGTGGAGGAGTTTCGTGCCGCGCTACGAGGCAATATCCCGGCGCGTTATCTTGACCCGAACGCCCCGTGGGACGGCCAGCCCCTGGACTAAGCACAGGATTGCAGTCATGGAATACGATGTCGTTGTCTGGCGCGGAACTTTGTCCGACGGTTCCATTTGCTACGCTGCGGTTTGCCCGGCCATTAGCCACGCCCACGGACAGGGTGAAACCGAGGCTGAAGCCTTGGTGGATGTCGCTGATACCATGGCTCTTTTTGTGGAGAAGATGCCTGGCAAGGTGAAAACTGGCCAGGCGGCGCAGGACGCCCTTTCGGAAGAATGTTCAGAACTCACCTCTGACGGCGTTGTGCATTGGGTGCGCCAATTGGAGCCTCGTAGGAACTCAGTGCCCGTGTAGCGATGCCCAGAATAGCGAATGTCAAACCGCGAGAATTAATCCGCGTGCTCCGCAGGATGAGATTTGAGAGGGATGACCGAGATCACGTGAATTTCTACCATGAATGGTTGAATTTGTGGACAAAAGTATCGCACAGCGACAAAGATATTGATGCCGACCTCATGGGCCGTATAGCAATCAGGCAACTCAAAATGAACAGTGCCGAAGAGTTTCGCGCCGCGTTGCGCGGCAATATACCGGCACGTTATCTAGACCCGAACGCCCCGTGGGACGGCCAACCTCTGGACCAGTGATTATTATGCCCGCGAGCCTTGACATAACCCCCGAAGCTTCCCAATTCATCCGGCACAAAGGCGGACAGGCCGTGGTTGACCTGATCTGCTGGAAGGGTTGAACCGGCGAATCCGTTGAGGTATCGGTCGATACCAACGTCCGTCGTCGACGCAGCCTGGAGTCCTATGCAGCGTTGGACGACGATGACATCAAGTTGTTCGTGGCCCCGGGCATCGCGGATCACGCCCTGCAGGTTACGGTGTCGATGAGCCGGTTCCTGCTGTTCCGGAACCTCAAGGCAACCGTGGTATTACCTGACGGCATCACGCTGGGTCGACGCGCTTCCCTCGTTTAGCCTGTCTCCGGCAGCATATCGGCCACGGCGCAGGCGAAGCCGGGCAGGTAGTCCCCGCCGCCCACGGCGTCAGCGTCTGTTAGCACCAGTGGAGACGCACCGGCCGCGTGCACCGTCAGCGTGCGGGCGTCGATGTCAATCACCCAAACGGCCCTGCTGCCGGCGTTAATGTATTCCTCAATCTTTTGCGCTATCTCGGCGGGCGTGTTGCTGTCCGACAAAATCTCCACGGCGAGGTCAGGCGCGCCGTCGTAAAGCATTCCAGCCAGATCGGATCGGGCCAATCGCTCAGTTGATACAAACGAAATGTCGGGCATCCGCGAGGTGACTGGCGAATCAGGACCCGTCACATACCCCCGGTTGCTCGTGTACACCCGGCCCAGTCGGTTGGGGAAAACATGCTCCGACAAGCGCCAGTTGACTAGCGAACCGGTGTGTTCGTGTTCCTCGGATGCGACCATCAGCTCAACGAGGACTCCTTTCACCAGCTCATGCCGGGGGTGCTTGGGCAGCGCGGCATACTCCTCCAGCGTCACGGACGGCGCGGCGGCGATGTTGTGCGTCGTCATGACGTACCTCCTCGCTAATATCGGCGGGGTCTAACGCGCGTAGCGGTAACCGCCGGCCGGCGTCCGGGCGCAGTTGAGCCGGCGGTTCAGGTGCAGGCCCTCGAGGACGAACTCCACGGCTGAGGCCACCACCTCCGGCCGCCGGTCGTCGCCGATCAGCGCGGACACCGCGGCCGGGAGGCCTGCGATATTGGTCAATGCCGCGGCGTAGGCGGCGGCCGGAACTTCGCTGCCCGTTTCCACCGCGTTGCCCAGGTCGAACGCCGTTACGATGTCATCCAGGTCGTCCACGTTACAGTGGCGTCCGAAGATGCCGAGGGTCGCCCGCTTGGTCAGGTCCTCCACGAGGCGGTCCTCCCGGCCCTCGCCGAAGGTCTCCATCTCGATCTTCCCGCCCAGGGACGCGACGAGATAGGGAAGGTCGCTGATGCGCGGACAGGCAATATCCTCGTCGTGTCGGATGCTGCGGCGCAGGGCGTTGCTGATGAGGGTCTCGTAGTTGGCGATGGACACGCGCACGCTGACGCCGGACCGCTGGTTGATCTCGTTGCTGGCCCGGGCCCGAGCCGTCACCTCCGCGACGATCTCCGTCATGAACTCAGGGATCACCACCTTGTCCTCGTCGGGGAAGCGGTTCCGCTCCTGCTCCATGATGGCGATCTCTTCTTCGAGCTCCTTGGGATAGTGGGTGTGGATCTGCGCGCCGTAGCGGTCCTTCAGCGGCGTGACAATGCGACCGCGGTTGGTGTAGTCCTCGGGGTTTGCCGTGGCCACGACGAACACGTCCAGCGGCATCCGGATGCGGTAGCCCTTGATCTGCACGTCCCGCTCTTCCATGAGGTTGAACAGGCCCACCTGGATCCGTTCGGCCAGGTCGGGGAGTTCGTTGATGCAGAAAATCCCCCGGTTGGTGCGCGGCACCAGACCGTAGTGGATGGCAGTCTCATCCGACAGGTGCCGGCCTTCCGCCACCTTGATGGGGTCGATCTCACCGATCAGGTCGGCGATGGAGATGTCGGGGGTGGCCAGCTTTTCGGAGTAGCGCATGTCCCGCCCGATCCAGGCCACGGGCGTGTCGTCGCCGAGGTCGGCCACCAGCTGTTTCGCGTCGGGGGTGAGGGGGTTGTAGGGATCGTCGTTCAGCTCGCTGCCGGCGATGACCGGGATCTGCTCGTCCAGCAGGTTGACCATCTCCCGGATCAGCCGGGTCTTGGCCTGGCCGCGCTCGCCCAGCAGGATGATGTCCTGGCCGGCCAGGATGGCGTTTTCCAACTGGGGAATGACCGTCTGATCGAAACCGACGATGCCGGGAAACACCGGCTCTTCGGCGCGGATCCTGGCGATCAGGTTGCGGCGGATCTCCTCGCGCACCGACGTCGATTGGTAGCCGCTATCGCGGAGTTCGCCGATGGTGGCCGGCAAAGGGTTATTCGTGGACATGAAAGCGGTCCATCCTTTGGTCAGAGTAGGGGTTTGCCGGCAGTATAGCAAAACGTCCAGTCCGCAACCGTCGCCGGCTTTCGTGTGCTACCATAGTATGGTAGGGTGATCCCGCTATGCTCCGTTTTCTCTGGCCCATCCTCATGATGTTCGGCCCCCAGCTGGGCCGCGCATCGTCAAGTTCGTGCGCGCCCTGTACCGGCTGCACCGCGATTCCCGGGTCAACCTGCTGATCAAGCTGCTGATTCCGTTGGCGGTGATCTACGCCATTTTCCCTTTCGACTTGGTGCGGGACCGCATCCCTTACGGTTTGGGCCGGTACGACGACATCATCATCCTGGCTTTGGCCGTGTGGCTCTTCTGGAACCTGTGCCCCCGGGCGGTGGTTCGAGAGCACATGGGCGAACCGCCGCCTCCGCGCCCGGAAGACGACGATCCCGACAGTGTTGTTGACGGCCAGGCCCGCCCCGCCGACAACGCGGACGACCAGCGCAGCTGTTGATCCGCCGGCGACCCCACAGTCATTGATCCAGCAGGGGCGGGTATGAAACTCGCCCCTTGCTACAGGTGCTGCGATGTCCCCATCCGATGAATATCGCGATCTTCCCATTTCGGCATCCGGAGAGGGCATTTCGCTGTACGTCCACGTACCCTTCTGCCTGAGCAAGTGCCCGTATTGTGATTTCAACACCTACCAGGGTATCGAGTCCCAGTTTGAGGACTTCCTCACCGCCGCCATACGGGAGATAGCCGCCTGGTCCGTGGCGCTCGGTCGGCCAACCGTCAACACGATTTTCCTGGGCGGGGGCACGCCTTCCTACCTGCCCGATGGCGACGTGGCCCGCATCCTGGACGCCATCGCCTGCAGCTACGGGGTTCGCGCCGACGCCGAGATAACCGCGGAGTGCAACCCCAACGACCTCACTCCCGCCAAGTGCGCCGAACTCCGGGGCGCCGGTATCAATCGGGTCAGCATTGGTGTGCAGAGCATGGACAACGGCCTGCTATCCATGCTGGGGCGCCGCCACGACGCCGCTGAGGCTGCGGAGGCGTTGGGCCGTTGCCGCCGCGCCGGTTTCGACAACGTGAGCCTGGACCTGATGTACGGCCTGCCGCATCAGTCGCTGGCCCAATGGCGGGACACGGTGGGGCAGGTCGTTGCGCTGGCGCCGGAACACCTGTCCCTCTATTCCCTCACGCTGGAGGAAGGCACCCCCCTGCGCCGCTGGGTACAGCAGGGTCGCCTGCCCGAGCCCGACCCTGACCTGGCTGCCGATATGTATGACCACGCTCGCGCCGCCCTGGCCGCTGCCGGCTACCATCACTATGAGATCAGCAATTGGACGCTGCCCGGGCGAGACTCGGAGCACAACCTGGCTTACTGGCGGAACCTGCAGTGGCTGGGAGTTGGCCCGGGCGCCCATTCGTCCCTGCGCGTCGGCGAGGTCGGGTCTGCCTGCCGGTTCTGGACCGTGCGGTCGCCCCGCGATTATGCCCGGCTGGGCCGGGAGTGGGCAACCAGCGCGGCTGAGGCCGGCGCGTGGCCGGCGATGACCGTGGACCGCATTGCGGCGGTCCCGACGGTCGACGGCTGGGAGGTATCCGACGAGGCGACCACGGCCGCCGAGACCATGTTCCTCGGCCTGCGCCTGCTGGACGGTATGGACGTTGCCGCCGCCTCAGCGCGCATCGGCATCGACCTGTCCGCCCGCTACGAGCGGGAACTGGCGGAGTTGACGGCCGACGGGTTGCTGGTGTGGGAAAGCGACGACCGGCTGCGGTTGACGGAGGAGGCGTACCTGGTGGGGAACCAGGTGTTCACGCGGTTTTTGGTGGAATAACTGTGTTGCTATGCCGGAATTGATGACGAGTTCGCTACAGGCTCTGCGGGGTTTATGGGGGAGGCTCCCTCGCATATCTCTCGTCCTCATAGCGACGGGGGTTTTTGTTTTAGGCGCAATAGGCGGACTGTTTTATGTTCGGAGTCAAGTCGGAGATGCGCTCAAGACAGTACTGACTGAGTCGTTGTCAACTACCGTAGATGCTGCTCTTATCTTACTGGTAGGGCTTTTGGTGGTCAGTGCGATTTCGGCAGTATTATACGCAGTTAGTTACCGCGAGAGGCGATAATTTTCCAGACTCGACTCCCTATCGTAGTCAGAGCCACAAATATCCGAGCGATTACTGCCAATATTAGAATGACGGTGCCAGCGACGATTAAGCGGGTGTTTTCCGGTTGTACCAGGTAGGCCCCAAACAGTACCACCACCAACCTCAAAGCGGCGACTCCTCCTATCGAGAACATGGCAAAGTTCCACCAATCTCGTTTCACGCGTTGTCCCGCGACCGGGGTGTCATGCCCCAATTCTGTACTTGACGTCTTGGGCGTATCCATTGCCGTTGCCTCCTGTCTCCATCTTACCGCTTGACAATCCTGTCAACCAACAGTGTGGGACGGCTCTGCCCCGACCCCTATGCTAAACTGCCGCCAACTGTCGCTATTGGCGGCGCCCTCAATTGCATTCAAACCAAGTTGTCCCCCGGAGGTTCCAACATGGCGGTACAGCCTTACACCATTTCCGTTTCCGACGATGTGCTGGAAGACCTCCGGCACCGTCTGAATCACGTCCGCTGGCCCGACGAGATTCCGGGGGCCGAATGGGACTACGGCTCCAACCTGCACTACATCAAGGAGTTGGTGGCGTACTGGCGGGACGGTTTTGACTGGCGCAAGGCCGAGGCTGGCCTCAACGCCTTCGCCAATTTCTACACCACCATCGAGGGCCAGGGCATCCACTTCATCCACGAGAAGGGCAAGGGGCCCAATCCCATGCCCCTCATCGTCACCCACGGCTGGCCCGGCTCCATCTACGAGATGCACAAGATCATCCCCCTGCTCACCGACCCGGGCAGCCACGGCGGCGACCCGGCCGACTCCTTCGACGTGGTCGTCCCCTCCATGCCGGGCTATGGCTTCAGCGCCCAGACCCGTGAGCGTGGGGTCAACACCCGCCGGATCGCCGAGCTGTGGGACAAGCTGATGGCCGACGATCTGGGGTACCAGCGCTACGCGGCGCAGGGCGGCGACTGGGGCGCCGGCGTCACCGCCCGCCTGGGCTTCCATCATGCGAACCACGTGCTCGGCATCCACACCACCTCCGTGACCCAGGCCATACCCTATCAGGGCGCCAGCCTGGAGGGGTTGAGCATGCGGGAGCGGCTGGAGCAGGTGATCGGCACCCCCCAGGGCGGCTACCGACGGGACTTCGCCGCCTCGCTGTCCGACAACGAGCTCGCCATGATCGACCAACGAGTCTCCTGGGCGGCCGCGGAGGGTGGCTACGGGCACATCCAGGGCACCAAGCCCCAGACCCTGGCCTACGGCCTGAACGACTCTCCGGTTGGTCTCTGCGCCTGGATCGTGGAGAAGTACCGCACCTGGAGCGACTGCAACGGCGATGTGGAAAGCGTCTATACCAAGGACGACCTGCTGACCACCGTGATGATCTACTGGGTGACCCAGACCATCAACTCCAGCACCCGTCTCTACTACGAGAACAGCCGCGCACCCTGGTACTTCGGACCCGACGACCAGATTGGGGTGCCCTGCGCCATTGCTGTGTTCCCCAAGGAGCTGTCCACGCCGCCGCGTTCCTGGGCGGAGCGCACCTATAATGTGCAGCGCTGGACCGAGATGGACAGCGGCGGCCACTTCGCTGCCCTGGAGAAGCCGGCCGAGCTGGTGGCCGACATGCGCGAGTTCTTCCGCGGACTGCGGTAACCTGAAACTGGGATGTCCGCTGCTTCAACGCGAGAGATGTTGTATGGGAACAACTGACTGGACAATCATCGGTATGGGCATAGCGCTTCTGGCGGTGCTGGTGCCCCTGATAAAGTTCACCAACTCGGCTTCGACAAACGAAGTGAAGGCCCTCATCGCGGGTCCCCGCACGGAAATTGCGGATCTCCGCACGGAGTTGAAAGGTGAGATTGGTGATCTCCGCACGGAGTTGAAGGGCGAAATTGCAGACCTTCGTACGGAGTTGAAACTGGACATCCAGGCCAACCGGAATGAAATTACCACCAACCGACGGCTGCTGGCCCGGTTTGCCCTGCACCGTCATGGGGACGACGGACTGCCCCTGGCCCCGCTTACCGATTCGCTGGACCCGCCCGAGGGAACCGGCGGCAGCAACGGCGAAGGAACCGGCGACTAGAAGGAAACGGCGACTAGGCTGACAGCATCCGTAAAACCCGCTACCATATCGGCCAATAAACCTCGAACCTAGGCCGGGTCCCCCGGTCCGCCACCAAGGAGGAACCCGTTACATGATTACCAAGTTTGGCAGCCTTTGGGCCGGCAACGTCGACATGGACAACCCCGGTTACCAGGGCACCCCCGCCAACGATCGCTGGCTCTCCGACGAGGAACTGGCCGGCGGCGCCATCGAGAAGGCTGAACAGATCGCCATTGCTATGGACCGCCTCGGCTATGACACCTTCTGGGTCGCCGAACACCACTTCCAGCGCGAGGGTTACGAGTGCATCCCCAACCTGCTGATGCTGTACGTGCACCTTGCCCACCTCACCAAGAACCTGCGTTTCGGCTGCGGCTTCAACATCAACCCCATGTGGAACCCCCTGCGCCTGGCTGAAGACTACGCCACCTCCGACTGGCTCACCGACGGCCGCGTGCGCTTCGGCGTCGGCCGCGGCTACCACACCCGCGAGGTTGAGGTCTTCGGTTCGCCCATCATGGACCAAAATGCCAACCGCGAGCTCTTCGAGGAGCAGGTGGAGGTCATCTGGAAGGCATTCAACCAGCGCAGTTTCGCCCACCACGGGAAGCATTACGATATTCCGCCCAACGTGCCCTACCGGGGCTATGATCTGGAAGAGATCACCCTGGTGCCCCGGCCCAAGAACGAGGTCGAGTGGTGGCAGCCGGTGGTTTCCGCCAGTGACCGCGCCATCAACTTCATGGCCAAATGGGGCATCAAGGGCATCATCGGCGGCGGCGCGGCCACCGGCGGCGCCAGTGACGATGTTATCCACCGCTGGCAGTCCATCCACGCCGAACACGGCAAGGAGTGGGAACTGGGCGAAGGTCTCGCGGTCGGGTACTCCGTGCAGATCGCCAACTCCGAGCAGGAGGCGATGGACCAGGCCCGCCTGTGGATGGAAGAACGGGTCAAGATGTTCGGCCCGTTGGGCTTCATCGCGGGCCTGAGTCAGGAGCAGCTCAACGCGCTTAACGCCTTTGGCCGCCCGGTTCCCGCCGGTCTCAAGATGCCTACCATCGAGGAGTCGGTGGCCGCCGGCCAGTATCTCGTCGGCCCGCCCGACCGGATCACCGAGCAGTTGATGGAGATCCAGGAACGCTACCCTGGTCTCGACGAGGTCAACATCGGCATTACCAATATGGGCATGCCCACCTCGGCGTCCATGGACCAGCTGGAATGGTTCGCCCGCGACGTCATGCCCCACTTCAACACCAAGCAGGGCGCGGACAACTAAGTCCGCGCTAAATTTGGGAGGATCGCGTAGGGGCGACGGTTCACGTCGCCTCTACGAATGTAGGTTGAGCCGGGATACCCCTTGACGCCTGATCTCCAGTCCCCGGTTGCCGTTGTAGGCGCCACCACCTGGGGCACTACCCTTGCCGTCCTGGCCGCCCGCGACGGCGCTCCGGTGCGGCTCCTCTGCCGCACGTCCGACGAGGCGGATGCGCTCCGCCGTGCCGGCGAGCACTCCCGGCGGCTGCCCGGTGTCCCCTTCCCCGAAACCCTCTCTGTCGAGCATGGTCCGGCGAAGGCCCTGAGCGATACCAACCTGGTGATTGTCGCGGTGCCTTCCGACCGCTTCCGCCAGAATGTCGGTCGCATCGCCAAATACGTTCCCAAAGAGGCCGTGATCCTGAGTGTCACCAAGGGACTGGAATTGCCCGCCGGCCTCCGCATGAGCGAGGTATGGTCCCAGGAAATGCCTCAGCACCCGCCCGGGAGATTCTCGGTCCTGTCAGGCCCCAACCTTGCTGGGGAGGTCATTGCCGGCAAGCCGGCCGTGACCGTGGTCGCCGCCTCCGCTGAAACGTCTCGCAGTCTGGTGCAGGAGGCCTTGATGTCGCCGGCTTTCCGCATCTACACCAGCGACGACGTGGTGGGCGTGGAAATGGGCGGCGCATTGAAAAACATAATCGCCCTGGCCGCCGGCATCGCCGATGGCATGGAGGTGGGAGACAACGCCAAGGCTGCCCTGGTAACGCGCGGCCTGAACGAAATCGGACGCCTGGGCATCGCTGCCGGCGCTCAGCTGATGACCTTCGCCGGCCTGGCGGGATTGGGCGACGTCATGGCGACGTGCAGCAGCCCGCTCAGCCGCAATCGCCGGGTCGGAGAGGAACTCGCCAGAGGTCGTCAGCTGCCCGACATTCTGACCGATATGGGAGCAGTGGCCGAAGGCATCAACACCACCGTGGCCGCGCTGGAAATCGCCGAGCGCCTGGATGTCGACATGCCCATCACTCGCCTCATGTCGCAGGTGTTGTTCGAGGGCCTGCCCGCCGCCGAGTGCATCCCCACCCTGATGGAACGGCCGCCCCGCTCGGAGTGGTAGCCGAGCCGGTAGTGGGCTATTACGGGTTGCGTCCTTGCGTTCTACAGGGGCTCTGTGCCTTCGTTCAGGATAGACAGGTAAGCGTCGTAGACAAAGAGGCGGTCGCTCCTTCTGCCGGTACCCTCCCGTGCTATGTCGAGGCCCACCAGCAGGTTCATAGCCGAAGATACCGTTGGGAACGTCAAAGCAGTGCTGTCTGCCACGTCGGTTATCGACTGTATGGGACGTGACATCAACCTTTCGTGTACCCGCAGTGCCGAGCCAGCCCGACGCCCTTCTTGTTGTATACGTTCCCGGTCGGAGGCGAACAATCGCAGCAGCCGTTGCGATGTGGTAAACGCACCCTCCGCTGTTTCTTGCACTCCTTGTAGGAAGAAGTCGAGCCAGTCTTCCCAATCTCCGGTGCGACGTACATCGTTCAGCAACTCGTAATAGTCGGAACGATGTTGTTTGAAGTAAAGGCTTAAGTACAGTAGCGGATCCTTTAGGACCCCGGCGTGGCACAATAGAAACGTGATAAGCAATCGTCCTACACGACCATTGCCATCAAGGAATGGGTGGATCGTTTCGAACTGCACATGAGCCAAGGCTGCGCGCACCAGAGTTGGCAATCCGTCGTCATTGGCGTGTAGGAATTGCTCTAATTTTCCCATGCAGTCAGGCACTGCGCCTGGAGGAGGGGGTACATAAGCAGCATTGCCAGGGCGTCGGCCACCGACCCAATTTTGGGACGTGCGGAACTCGCCAGGCTTCAACGCGCTACCCCGACCACTGGAGAGTAGAATACCGTGTATTTCCCGCATCAATCGGTTGGATAACGGGAAGTCACTTCGTAATCTTTCGAGGCCATGCTCCAGCGCGGCGACGTAGTTGGACACTTCCACTATGTCGCTCGTAGGTGCGCCCGGAGCGTCGTGAAGCTCAAACTCAAGCAGATCGGATAATGACGACTGAGTTCCTTCAATTTGGGAAGACAGCACCGCTTCTTTGCGAACGTAGGCATAAATGAACAATGCTGGATCAGGAAGCAAAGTTGCGATGCCGTCCAGCCTGCCCAATGCGAGGGTTGCGGTTTCTAGAGACTGCCGCAAGGCGCCGTCCAATTCCAGTGGAGGTGATGGTGGCAGAGGATCCGGTATAAAGGCGCGTATTTCCTCGTTCCCAGAGGTCCTCACTTCGTAACATCCGGTTTTTTCGCGTCTCATTGATCTTCGCCTTGCAGTGATTTGCGTAACTTTTAATCGCACCTAGCGTGATTAAAAATTCGCCCCCAAACTTTAATGGCTGTGGTTCCAATTAAGCAACCTTTACCGACGTCGACCGCTATCAAAAAAATGAGCGTAAATTTTAACGATGCATCTGTTGCCGGTCGCATGCCCCTACACCCCCGTCAGCCACCACCTCGCCGTCCCCTCCCCTCCGGGCCCGGCGCTCACCTCCATTCCCTCCAGCAGCCACGCGCCGCCGATACCCTGCTGTTCCGCTCGTACCCCTACCACATCCGACACCCGGCCCTCCACCACGGCCCGGGCGTTGGACCGGGCGGACAGTTGCAGGGTGGCTTCAATCTGCGGGCGCCGTTGCGAGCGGTCCGCCAGGCGTGCTTCCGCGCCGGCCTGCGCGGCGGCGTAGTTATCGACGTACCGGCAGTTCACCAGGGTCCCGGCTGTGGATGCGTCTGACGCGCCGGCCCGGTGGGCGGTGCTTGATTCCGCCCGCCAGCAGTGGTTGGCGGACAGGCGCAGGCTCTGCACGTAGGCCCGACCCAACCCGTTGTTGCGGACCCGCAGCATCCGGCCCCGGCCGTCGACTCCCGATTCCGCTGCGGTCAGCACTGCGACCGTGATGTCTCCGGTCACGTCGGCGCCCGCTCCGGCGGCGTCGGCCGTGGCCGTGTAGTCGGTCTGCGGCGCCGGAGCTTGCACCCCGTCAATGGCTTCCCAGGCGTCGGAAGCCGCCAGTACCAGGCGTTCCTGTTCGGCATCGATTGCCAGGGGCTCGTTGAGGTTCCAGACCCGTTGCGTGCCTGCGTCGGCCAACCTCCGGTAGCGGAACACCACCGCGTCCTCCATCGCGGCTGCGCCGTCGTCCCAACGCAGGTGCGAGGCGTAAGGTCCGGCTCCGGCGGCGGTGTCTCGCAGAGTTGTCCGGGCCAGCGATGCCGGGTCGCCATGCGCCCGGATGCCCGACCGCAGCGTCGAGTCTTCCAGCCGGACGCGGCCGTGCCCGTCGGTGTAAATCAGTCCGTGCTCTTCCCTCTGCAACCGGCGCAACGCCCGGCCCGCCGACACCTCCCAAACCGAGCGAGGCCCACCGGTGAGCAGGACGCGACCCGAGGCCAGATCGTATTCGCCCGGCGCGAGGTTGGACCAAGCGAGGATGGAGGCGGCGACGTCGCCGGAACGCATCGGCCCGCCCGGCAGGGACTGGCGCAATCGCACCGACGCCAAAGGGTGCATCACATCTGCGGCCGCGACGTGGCAGACGCCGGCCGCGTAGTCCGGTGCGATGTGGGTGATGCGTCCCCGAAACAACCCGCGTCCAACGCGGAAGCTCCTCCAACGGTCTGCCGTGTTGCGGAAGCTGTGCCACAGTCCGTGCCGGCCGGAGGCCGGCGCGTCGGCGATACCATTGGCCGATAGCACCGTCCGCCCGACGCGGTCGCTGGCTTCCAGGTTGATCGCGCGCACTCTAACGCTGTCCGCGGTCTGCTCGATTTCCAGCTCGTGCCACGTCGCCGGCAACAGCGGACCTCCCGACGCCAGGCGAGTCACCGTGGAGCCCGATACCCGCTCCAGCACGCTGGATACGTGGTCGAACCGTAGCCGCAGGCAGTTGTTGGCCGCAACGCACCGCAGGACGAATCCGCCCTGGCCGTTGGTGGTCCTGCGGTAGTGCGCCGTGAGGGTTGCGGTGGAGTCCCGCGTTTCCAGCAGCGCCACCGCGTCCGACGGTGGAAACGAACCCACCGTGCCCCGGACTTCCCCGTCCAGCGCCGAAAAGCCGTTTCCCACCGTCGAGATCACTTCCCAGTGAGTGTCGCCGAACGGCACCTGTCGTTGGTCCAGGTCCTCGGAGCCCGCGCCGGAGGTCGCGAAGTCGTCGTGCTGCCGGCTGACCTGAAGCCTCACTTCGCGGCCGGGCCTTACGTTCGACCCCAGCGGCCCGGTGGCGTTGCCGGGGGTGTAACGATGGCCGGCGTTGTTCAGCGTTAACTCCAGGGCCGCCGGCGACGCGAACTCCGGAACCGGCAATCCCCGGCGTCCCCAACCCCAGCGCAGTCCCAACACGTGGGCTGATATGTCAGCGTCCTCCGCGCCCCAAATCGCGTCGCCGGGCCAGTCGACCCGGACCTGCCAGCGCAATGCCGGTGTGGGAACAGTCACGCTGGTTGCAATCGCAGCGGTGTTTGAAGGCATGGTCATGCTCGTTGCCTGCCCTCCTCGTGAAGAGTTTGGTTGGATGCGGTCCGCGTAAGTCTCCGGCGGATTGGCGCAAAACGGTGAAAACGTATAGCATCTTTGTGGCGTAAGGAGCGAAGAGCATGGCCAGGCGTTGGATCAGCTATAGTGTCGACGAGGACCGGCGAAGCCGGCGCGACCGGAGATGGCGATTGCGCTGGCCGTGGAACTGGGGTCGCGGCCCTGGCTACGGACGTCCCCACGTGGTGCGGGACCGGCCCAGCCGACAGCGCGGCCGGTCCCGCGACGACGGCGAGCGACGCAGCATCTGGCCGTGGCTGTTGCTCCTGCTGCTTTTGCTGTTGTTCCTGGGGGCCCTCGTGTTGTTCCTGCTTGACGATCCCGAGGAGAACGGCAGCGCCGAACAGACCGGCGGGACTGGCGAGCCCGCCGCGCCCGGGGACCTGGTTGCGGGCGGTGTCGTGCCACCGGTCGGCTCGGCCCTGGCCTTGACCCGCGCCGATGACGGCAGCACCATGGTTTCCGTTCCGGAACGCCCTTCGCTGCGGCTGGGAGAGGACGCGAAGGTCATCGACCTCGGCGACGGCTCCTGCCACGACCAACGCTACGTCCTGATGACCGACGGCAAGGCTGTCCCCATAGAGGACCTCGACGAGGCGACGGTCGACGCGCTGGCCCGGTCCAATGTGGCGATCGACACCGTGGCCCTCAGCCCGGGGGCCGACACGAGCGCCCTGCGGGCCATCGCCTCCCGCACCGGTGGGACGTTCACGAAAATGGAGTAATGCACTTTGACGCAATCCGTGGAGATACAATCCGAGCACTCCTGATTTTTGGCAGTTACATAGTAGAATGGGTGCGGCCACACGTCCCCTTGCTGCTGGAAATGGAGTAGTGATATGGCGTTTGACGCACGTTGGATTTCCTACGACCCCCGCGAGGCCCGGCGTAGGCGCCGTACATGGCCGTGGTTTTTGCTCGTGTTGCTGCTGCTGGTTGCCATTCTCGCTGGCGGCTGGCTCTGGTACGAAAACTCGGAAGCCATCGATCTTGCTCGACCGGTAGCGATACAGGCCGCGTTGCCCGCGCTCCTCATCGATGATGCGATGGTTGTCTATGTGGTGGACGACTCCGGCAGTATGGAAGACAAACTGTTGCCGTTGTATCAAGCGTTGCAGGAGGTGGCCGATAAGCCCACCGAAAACAGCGAAATTGCATTGCTGATGTTTGGCACAACAAACCGGATGCTCTTTGATTTCACTGAACCGGGCGATGCTCCCTGGGATACTGCCATTCCGTCCTTCACCGCCGGCAGCGGCAAAACGGCGATGTTTCTGGCCTTGCAAAAGGCTCACGAGATGTTTCCGGACCGCCCGGTCTGTCACGAGGAAACTCGCTTCATCTTTTTCAACGAGACCACCTGCCGACAGAACCGGATTGTCCTTATGTCTGATGGTGTTGCCGGGGACCTTTACCTCGCCGAAGCAGCTATTGCTAACCTGGTCCACGCCGGCGTCCCGGTAGATACTATTGCTTTCGGCGTAGATGCCGACGAGGAGGGGCTGCGACTTATCTCCGAGATAACCGGCGGCAGATTCATACAAGCCTACTACTGATCTGTTGGGCTTCCCGGTAGCGGCTGAAATCTTTGCCATACCGGGGAGCAGGAACGACCCATAATGACTGTCCAGGATACCGCCCAAGCGTTCTTTGACGCCGCCGACCAGCATTTTGAGGACGAAGAGCCGCTGCTGGCCTACGAAAACCTGTGGAACGCGGCAGCCCACGCCCTGACCGCCGTGGCGGAAATGCGCGGCTGGCCGACCGATGACCCTCAAGCCCTGAAGGCCGCCGCCGACCGACTGGCCAATGAGGCCAGCAACCACCACCTGCGGCACGAATTCGCCGTGGCCCAGCAGTTCCGCGCCAAGTTCAATTACGGCTTCGTCGAGCGCCATCAGCTTGCCGACTACTGCCGGCTGATGCGCGAATTCGTCGACCGTATGCTCGCGATGTTGGATACGGAAGGTCAGGTTGGTTCTCTGACGCCCCGCGAACATGGCCGAGCGGCGCAGGAAACTTTGGAAGCTGCCGAGGCGGAGTTCGCGGCGGGAGAGGTTACGGCCGGCTCGGCCAGGCTGTGGCAGGCCGCCGCCCATGTCGTCACGGCCGTGGCCGGTGAGCGCGGTTGGCCTTGCGAAGACCATCAGGCGGTGAAAACCGCCGCCGATCGCCTGGCCGCCGGCGACGCCGCGGTCATCGCCGGTTTCTTCGCCGCGCAGCAGTTTCACGCCAACGCCAGTCTCGACTTCATGGAGCCTGACGACGTTGCCCGCGGCGTTCCCCTGGCACGAGATTTCATTCATCGCGTGTTGGCGTTGCTTGAAGGCTAATCCGGCGAGAACGGCCGTTGCTGATCCCGGACCGCTATGGGATAATCGTTTCATTCTCATAGGTCTATATGTGCTATCAACATGATTACCTCCGAGCTCTACATCCTCTACGGTTTTCTTGCCTTCATCTCCCTGCTGCTGGTTACCCTTATCGGGATTCAGCTGCGGCAGTCTTTCACGATTGGCAGAATGCAGGGCCAACTCGATGGTCTCACCGAGCGACTCAATGGTCTGGCCGAGAGGCTCAATGGCCTTGAGGCCAGGATCGAAAGGCTGGAGGACCAAATGGCGTCTCTCCGCGCCGAAGTCGCCGAAATCAGGGGAATGCTGCTCGGCCTGAACAGTCGCATGGACCTGCTGATGCGCCACCACCACGACGAAGCCGGCCGCGTCGTCATCGTTCCTGCGGAGGAAGTAGCCGCCGACTGACCCGCTCCGGCCCATTACCACGTTCCCAGCGCCGCCGATCCGTCCTGCCGGAACTTGGCCTCGAACCGCACCGGCTCGCCGGCCGCGCTGCTGATCCGGTAGGACAGGCACACGAACCGTCCCGACACCCGACGCTTTCCCGTCCCGTTGCCGGCCGGCCCGTACTCCACGGCAACCGTCTGTCCGACGATCCCAGACAGCACGGCGTCCGGCCCGATGCCTGGCGTGTCGTCCCACCGGCCCGACAGGATGAACTCCTGCGCCACCGCCAGCCCCGGCGCCGTCCGCGCTGCGGCTTCGTTCACGCCGGACACGTCCCGCGCGTCCAGTTCCACGCCCAGGGGCCCGACCCGTTCCATCCACGGGGACAGGTCCCGCATCACCCCGTCCGGGTCCGCCACCGCCACGTAGCTGCGGCCGGCGCTGGCATATCCCGTCACCCTCACACCCCCAGGGTGGCGGTGCGCCGGCGGAACGGGCCCAGGAGCGCACGGGCAGTCGGGGAGATGCCGCCCACATCTCCCCAACCCTCGCCGTCTGGTGGCCGGAAAGGCGCCCCAAGCCTCTCCCGCCACCAGACGGCGGCCTGCAGCAGGCACGCTTCCGTCACCCCCTTCGGGTAGCGGTACATCGATACTCCCGAGCCCACGGCGTGGGTCGTTGGGGCCGTTCCGTTGACGCCGCGTTGCACGGTGAGCGTTGTCACGCCCTGCCCGTCGTCGGACACCGCCGTGACGTAGATCTGTTCGTCGCCGATCCGAAGCGTGTGGCTGGCTGACAGTGTCCCAGAGGTTCCGCCCGCCGCCGCAACGGTGATTGTCGTGTCACCCATCGCGACCTCCGTGCCGGACACCTGCAAACCCGTGTCCTCGCGCACGTCGCCGTAGCCCCAGGCGCCGGTGACGATGACGCCGCCCCGGCTCAGCGGGAACCTCCGGCCGCCGGCGGTGGCCACGATGCGGGTGTAGGGTCGGCCGCCCGGCTCCGTGGGCGAGGCGTTCAGCGGGTAGGCCAGCCAGTCGCCGGTGGTCCAGCCGACCCAGCGGCCCGTGGATCCCTCGCGCACCCGCACCTCGGCGGCCGATACCAGATCGGTAACTGCCAGGGAGACCCTGCCCCGGCCGTCGAACCGCCGCTCTCCCGTCGTGGCGAAGAAGTGGCGGTCGCAGTGCCCGTCGATCCACCGCGACGCCGTTTCCAGCAGCCCCAGCAACCGTTCGTCCTGTCCGTCGTCCGGCGTGTTCAGAAACGCCGCCGATTTCAGTGTCGTCAGGTCGCCATAGACATTGGGCATTTGTATTCCTCCGTTCAACAAGCCACCGTCTCACGTAGGGGCGAAAACTCATTCGCCCCTACCCGATGGTCTGGGTTACACCGTGATGTTGTACTGCAACGCCGTGTGCTTGGCAGATGATCGTGTTCCGGTCCGCTCCATGAACGCCAGGCGCATGCTGATCACCATGATGTTCTGCCGCTTCTGGATGTCCCGGGTCGTCTCGATCATCAGCTCCCGTCGGAAGCCCAGGCGCCACTGCGTCCGGTTCACCACCAGCAGGCGGCCCTTGGTGTTGCTGTTGCCGCCGTCGGTCACCTTGCCGTCGGCGTCCGACTGCGCCATCTGCTCCGACACGATGACCGGGATGCCGTCCACCTGGGCCAGCTGACCGTTGAGCAGCGTGGCCTGCGCGCCCAGCTTGTCCAGCGTGCGGAACTCGCTCACGCCCAGCGACTTGATGTACGTCCCCACGTCGGCGATGTAGGCCAGCTCCGACGGGCGCACCCCGTACTTGCCCAGCAGACCCCGGGCCTCGTTGAACATGTCGGCGCTGGGCGCGGCGGAGTGGGCGTTGCCCTGCGACGTGTTGTCCACCAGCGGCAGGTGCAGCAGACCGTCGAAGCCAACCAGCCAGTGGGCCTTGCCCGCGGTCGACGCGGCAATGGTCGCGCCATCGGCGTTGATGTTGTTCTGCGCCGTGGTGTCGGCGTTCAGCAGCACGTCGTCGATCACCTCCACGGCGTTGCGGACCAGCGTGCTGCGCACCTCCGCCGCCATGGCGATCACCGCGTCCTCTTCCAGCGTCAGCGACCAGGGAACCTCGGCCACCAGCTCGTATGCCGTCAGCGTCTGCCGGCCCGTGGCCAGCGCCGTCTCGGTGGTGGCCGTGTTCTCCGTGCCGGGATACCAGGACACCTCGCCCATCTGCAGCGGTATCTCGAAGGGGTTGGTGGGCATGTCCACCCGGGTGAACAGGCCGGCCACGTGGGTATCCACGTTGATGTCCGCCCACAATGCGGCCGCCTCGCCGGTGGCAACCAGCTCGTCGCCCGTGCCGGCCGTCGTGCTGTCCATGGCCGCCTTCAGGTTAGCCTGCCAGTCCTCCAGCGCCCGGGGGTTCACGTCGCCCGGCTCGCGCTGCTGGGCCGCCAGGACGCTGCGCACGCAGGCCAGGTCCAGCGCGTCCATGCCCTGGTACTTGCCGTAGGGAACCCGTGGCCGCTCGGTGCCCCGCTCTCCTCCGGAGAAACGGGCCAGCATGGCCTGCCGTTCACCGGACCGCTGCTTCTCGGTAAGCTCACCCACGGCCCGGCTGATTCTTTCAAGCTCCTCCCGCAGGGGCGGCAGGTCGGCGTCCAGCCGCTGGCGGTAGAACTCACGAACCTCCGCAACCTCGTTCTTGATCGTCTCCAGTTCCCATGTCGAAAGCGTCATAACCTTGCAATCTCCTTTCCCGACATTTCCTCTTCGGAAATCCCGTCTATCCTGTCTATCCATGCCAATTCCGTAGCGCTCACCCACGTAGCCCGCGCAGCAGGCCCACCACCTCGTTCAGCGAACGGGTCGCTTCCGCTGGCGCTGGGGCGGCCGCATCGTCCGCGAGCAGGGCGCCGCCGTTGGCCGGGACGGGCACCGCGCTGATCTCCAGGAGTTCCTGCTCCAGGAAGCGGATGCCCAGGAACGCGCCGTTCACCGGGTCGCGCCGCTCCTCGAAGCGCAGGGGCCGGAAACCCACCGACACGCCGCGCTGGTAGCCCTGGCGGTAGAGCCGCTCCACCTGGCCGGCAAACTCCGTGGGCGCGAACTCCAGCCGCGCCCGCAGAGCCCGTCCGTCGCTCCACACCGCCTCCGCCCGTCCGATGGCCGGCTCGCCGTAATCGTGGGCCCACAGCACCACCGGGTTGTCCCGGTAGGCGTCCAGCCACCACCCCTCCGGCGCGACGGTATCGCCGTGCCGGTCCACCTCCCCCGTGGACGCCACGAAAACCAGCGGGCCGGCCCCGGCATCTTCCACGACGGCCCAGCCATTGGCCCCGTCGGCCGGCCGCTCGTGGCGGGTCCGTCGTACCGCCGGCGTACCCGCGTCCCACTTGCAGACCACCGGGGCCTCGGCCATTCCCCGCCGGTGCGCCGCCAGCGCCGCCAGCAGCGCGGCCCGACTGTCGGGCAGACCCCGCGGCGCCGGCCATCCCGTCCGTCCCTGCCGACGCGCTCCCGCTTCCATCATCGTCCTCATCATCCGGATACCTCCTCGCCGGCGCGATCCGATGCCCAGGCCGTCCGCCACCCACGCAAAAAGCCGGTGGGATCGACCTGCCATCAGGTCAGTCCCACCGGCTCTTCTCTCGCTTGATTTAGTCTAGGCTAGCAGCCCGTCACGGTAGCCGTCAACGCGACGATGTCAGCATTTTCACGACAATTGGCCCTCTAACTTTTCCACCAACCGCCCCACATCGTCCAGGTGACGAGCGACGTTGTTGGCAGTATCCCAATTCTCGTAGAAGTTGACGTGGAGGCTGTTGGCCACCGCGAACAGTCGGCTGATATCCGCGTCCCCGGTCTCGTCCACCAGGCGGGAAACAGCAGCGAAGAGCGCCGCGTGTTGCCGATGCTGCCCAGCCGCGCTGCTCGGCAACCGCCTTCACCATTTGCGCCGCCGCGCCCCAGCCCTTCTCCGACGCCTGGCGTACGTCGTCCTGCGCCAGCTCGGCACTGGCCTGCTCCAACAGATGGCGCGCTGCCTGCGCGTATGTCTGCGTTACCATAGTTTTCCCAATCGATCCAAACCTTCTGTAATCGCAGTGTACTACACCTATTCGCGGTGGCTACCATACGACTTGCCACCACGGGTCATCGCTTGAACATGCGCTACAATGATCCCAGATTGTTACTTCGAGGCTGGAGCCATGCTCGACACCGCGCGCGAATCCATCCATGTGTTTCACCGGGACGCCCAGGGCATCCCCGATTACTCGATTGCCCTGACTTGTACCTATACCCTCGAAGCGGACCAATGGGTCGGTGTTTGTGACGAACTGGGCACATCGGCCTTCGCCGACACGCTGGAGCAAGTCCGCATCGAGTTGCAGGAAGCGGTGCAACTGCAATTGAACGAGGTCGAACGCCTCGCCGACGTGCGCGACTACCTGGCAGAATATGAGGTACCCATTTCCCCTCTGAACCAACGTGAAGCAGCGGGTTTTGCCGTTGCCTCTGGTAGCCGCCTTGAATATATCGGGACGTGATCTCATGCGCCTACTGGAAGCCGATGGATGGAGCCGCGGTCGCCGTACCAATCACGGCATCTTCTTTCACCAGCAGTTCCTCGGGCGAACTGCAGCCAAGGTTCACCGTTATCCCCGACAAATCCGCGCCCCTTCCCAACGGAACCCTGGCCGCTATCCTGAGACCGAAACAGACCGGCATCGGTAGAGCCGGCCTGCAAGCGTTGATATACGCGCAATAGCCCGCCCCAGTCGTGAGCGAAACTCCGCCCGGGGACGAGCAGTCATTTTCCCACTCCGCGGTTACTCGCTGCCCAGTACGTCGTCGGCGCTCTTCACCGTGAATTCCAGCACGCCCTCCGCCCGGTCGTACAACATACGCAAACGGTTGATGATATCTCGCCCCAACAGTGAAGGGAGACGGTTTGTGCTGTGCGTTGGGTCTGCGGCCGGCTTTGCGACGAGGACATCAACCTCGTAACTGCGAATTTCTCTTGCTTCGCCGTCGACGAACTCCAGTACCGCGGGCTCCATGAAATACGTCGCCGGACCGCCCACGCCATTGGAGGTGACGGGGTTTTCCAGTTGGTCGAAGGGAATTGCGGCAAGCGTACCGTCCCGGGGGTGAATGCAAGTCGCATACGCTCCGGTGTCAACCAGGAAGACTATATTTCTGGCTATACCAAACCGGGGCAGCGTCAGGTAGCCTTCAACAAAGGGCTGCCCGGTGGGCCCAAATTCTCCGAGAATCACAGTATCAACGGCGTTGGATTGGAGTCCAGAAACTCAATGACGACGTTCCCACTCCGCAGGTTCTTTTCATCCAGAACCGTCAAGAGTTCGTCCATAGTGCCGGCTACAAACAGTTCTCCACCAGGGA